GGATCTCAAAGCACTCTGCACACTCTGAAAACACCAGTAGAGGCATTTCACAGGCGGTGAAATTCTATGCCGAGGTTCAGCAAAGCCAGCCCCTTAAATCTGCCGGTAAGCCAGCTTTTGGGAACTAAGTGGTATTCCCAAAAACGCTGGGAACTAAGCAGGCAACGGCCTGTGATTCATTTCACCCAAGCAGAGTAAACGACTTATCCAAAGCCATGACAGCGAGGAACTGGAGCCTTGATCTCCCGACTCTGTCCTGTGTTTAAACCAGAAGACCATCCTTCCTCCCGGACTTTAAACGGGGGGTAGGGAATAAAGTAAACTAAGAGCAGAACAAAAGTGAAACTTTCTAGAGTGAAAATGATCAAAGCATGAGACTAAAAGCATGCATCGATCTAATGAGGCTTAGGCTTTCGACTGTTTCTTTACATTTTAAAAAAAAAGCAACACTTTTTTTTTTGGTAAATTTGATAAGAGTGAAGCTAATGTAGGATTGCTGGTCCAGTAGGAAATGGAACTCAATTTTACATTTTTTAAAACCATTTTACTGTATTAAAAATGACAGAGGTTAGAAACAAAGCTCTTACACTTTTATTGAACTGGAATTGAAAGTGACAGAAAATCGTTTTGGCCCTGGTGCAGTAAATGTTATCACTAAAACATGTTCAGGGGAGATTAGGACAGTCTCTCGAGCACAAGAGACAAAAGTTCACAAAACAAGAAGCGATATTTTTTTTTCCTGCCTGTCCTTGGAAGCATTAGCTGCTCCGCAGACAAAAGTATCTCTGCTCTGGGAGGATGCAGAACTGGGCAAACGGAGATATGAAAACGTCTCCACTCTGAGAGGAGCTAGGATTTAGAGGACAGAAATGGACGACTTCAATGTGGTCCCAATAAAAGCGCTTTGGAATGACAGGAAGCCATGATGACAGGGCTGGGTTGGGGGGGAGGAGGGCTAGCCGGGCAGCTGCCCTGGGCGCCAAGCTATGGGGGGGTGCCTGATGGCAGCCCTCAGGTGTGCTGGGGGGGTGGGGCCGCGCATGTGCCATGCACCCGGGGGCGGAGCCGCGCATGCATCATGCGCCCGCTGCCTGGGGTGCAGAAATGGCTCAAGCCGGCAACACAATTTTTGGGTGTAAAAGGTACAAAAATTATAAAGCGATGTAAAACTTAAAACAAAAATTCAGTTCTCCAAATTTCAGTTATATTGACATACCCGCCCCTTCCCCCGACTTCTCTTGAATACCCCTAAGGGTACTCGGACCGCTGGTTGAGAAACAGTGCGCTAGACCCTCCCTGGTGGTTTATCAACCTCATGGAGGAGCCTTATGTCTGGGTCAGAAAGGCAAAAGGTGAGTGTCGGTGCTTTGCAACGGTTCTGAATTCCACGTGGAAGGAGTGGGTTGGACTCGCATCTGTCTGCTCCTCTGAAAAGACGCGTCGTGCTCTGAAACACAGAGTGGTCCTTGACTGCCGGCTGTTGTGTGGGAGACTGGTTTGAATTTGTCAGCCTGGTCCTTGTTTCCTGGCTTCCACACAGATGTGGAGATAATGGGCTTAGCCTCCCAGGAGGGAGCAAAAAGGCGTTGTGTTGTCAGGGTTGATACCTGCTCTGGCATGCTGAGTGCAGAAGGTGGGAGCCCAAAGGGCATGTCTAGACTGCATCCCTCTGTTGGCAGAGGGATGCAGATTAGGCAGGTCGACATTGCAAGTGAGGCAGGGATTTAAATATCCCGTGTCTAATTTGCATAAAAATGGCCACCGCGTTTTGCCGACTCAGCTTTTTGCCAACAAAGTGCTGCAGTCTAGAGGGGGATCTGTCGAGAAATGAAGCCTTTTTCAACAGATGCTTTATGCCTCCTGCATACTTAATAAGGCATACTTATTTGCTCTGTAACACCTGGCAATCAAGTACAACACATTAAAACAGAGAATCTCTGGGAACAATTCTTAGATGGTGAATGGGGGAGGGGAGGCATGGATTCACAAACGTTCAAACCAAACCCCCAAAATAAAAAAAAATAACCTAATCATGACTAAATACACGTTTCCCTTTATTTACTCATGATCCTGTCTTTGTTCAGTCCACTTCCATGCCCCAAATTCCTTGGAGGCCCGCTAGTCCTGCCTGGGTTTAAATTGTTCTGTGTCTCGCCACTCCTGGTTTCATTCTCCCACACACACAAAGCAGGCACAGTATCTTATACAATTCAAATCTCAGCACCGTATCCCCATTGCTTGTTCTGGTTCCCTGCCAACATCCTTACTAGTGACCTGAGTTTAACCCCTTAGTCACCGGGTGCTGGCCAGCCCTCCTCCTATCCGTCACATGTCATTTCACGGCCCCAATTCTTCCTCTGATTACTTGTCTTTGAGGAGTTTCTTTTGTACCTTCTAAATGGAAGGAAATCCCATGGCAATACAAGTAAAATATGGACCACCTCGGCTGAGAGAGAGTCCGGGGAGGGGAAGGAGGAGAGGCTGAGGTTGACAGCGCAACGAGATGCTGGCGGAGGAGGGGAGTATGACTTCAGATGGGTAAAGTGGAGTAATTCCACAGAGAAACCATGAGCCGCAGCTTAGTTTCTGAAGCGCTCTGCGCCTAGAAGAGTAGCGCCAAGGAGCATGAGGCAGGATCGTGCGCCTCTTTCTGGTACAACCCACAAATCGCTTCTAGATGCAGTCACTTCCTCTGCCCCCCGTGCATTTTGCCCATCGCCAAGGCCTGAAACAAACATGCCGCCCTCCAGCGGGATTCTGTTGGCGTTTTCCAATTAATCCGTGTCCATTCCTTGCACGTTTTTGTGAAATCATTTCCTTCAGGAAAGATTTGAATAAGGGTTCAAATGGATTGGATGTCCGGATCCTGGAACCTTGCCGCTGAACAACTCGCAGGTGTGCCACAACCTCTTCTTTGTGTTTCTTTCTTTTTTTTTTTTTTTTGGGCAGAAAATTTTCATCGGTGTTCCTCATAAAAAAATATTATTGTCTGGTATTCTGTGGTTTCAAAAAGTTTAAGAAACACTGATCTAGACCCCTCTCTGCCTGGCTGTGGCACATTGCCAAGCCACGCCCCCAGCTTTTATTTAGCCCTGCCCCCTGGGGGTTCCCAGGGAATTCCCTTCCCAGCTACTTGCCCACACAGCAGCAGGTTGGGTGAACTGCGGCTGGAGCTGGGATTTCGGTGAGGCAGCCTTTACCCTGGCCCCAGGTCCAGCTCCAGCGGTTGCTCTGCGGTGGGGCCAGAGGCCATGTGGAGAGCTGCTGCCCCTGCGATCCTGTTCTCTTCCCTCCCCCTTTAAAAAGACTGAAATATGCTGAAAGGTACCTGCATGCACGAATGAGTTAAACTGAAGCAAATGTGCTGGTTTGAGCTGCTTAATACGAATCTCCATGAACAACTTTTCCCCAAACTGGATTACTTAGAAATCATTATTAGCCCTTGACCACCCAGTCAAAGAGAAGCCAAGATTTGCCACACAACACCCTGTGATCTTGCAGTATCTTCATTGCAGCTCTTAGAAGCTCAGAGAATCTTCCCTAAAGGGGGAGTTGATTAGTATTCCAGCTGGAGGAATATTTCTGTTCTAGCAGAAAAGTGTGGCTCGATTTTTTTTATAAAAATAAGGCTCCAAAAATGTGTGTGAACCAGAACTATTCTGCATGTATTGTGTGCGTACAGATGCAATGTAAAATAATACGTGACCTCTTAAAATTACCATACTGATTATGCAAATAAATTAATTACTGCACGAATATGCAAATATTTCAGTACCGGTCCACCAACAGTTTTTTGAATGAGTTTGCTGGTTCTCAGTATGAAAGAGGTTGCCAGGTGTCTGGTTTTGAACCGAACGGTCCAGTATTTGAGCTTTCAGTTCAGGGAAACAAATTGAGAAAATAGAAATGTCCGGTATTTTCTAAAGACGTAATGTAGATTGTGATGTCATGTCAAGCGTGTCCAGTATTTTTGTTGAAATCATCTGGCAATCCTAAAAGAGGTTGGGAACCATTGCTCTAGACTGGTGTTTCTCAACCAGTGGTAAAAGTACCCTTAGGGATACTCGAGAAAGGTCTGGGGAGTACGTCAACACAACTGACATCAGGGATACTCGAGAGAGGTCTGGGGAGTACATCAACACAACTGACATTTGGAGAAAATTAAATTTTTGTTTTAAGTTTTACCGCGTTTTATTATTTTTGTACTTTTTACACACGCACATGTCATCGCCCACCCGGCTACAATTAAGTTATTTAAACAAATGTGTCGTAATGGTAGAAAAAAATGTCGTGTGTATGAAAACTGTAGGTACTGCGGGTACTTGATAATTTTTATTTTTATTTTGAAAAAGGGGTAATTTATATATTTTAAAAAAAAGGCTTGAGACACACTGCTCTAGACCATTCCTGACAGGTGTTTGTCTAACCTATTCTTACAAATCTCCAGTGATGGAGATTCCACAACCTCCCTAGGCAATTTATTCCAGTGTTTAACCACCCTGACAGGCAGGAAGTTTTTCCTAATGTCCGTCCTAAACCTCCCTTGCTGCAGTTTAAGCCCATTGCTGCTTGTCCTATCCTCAGAGACCAAGGAGAACAATTTTTCTCCCTCTTCCTTGTGACACCCTTTTAGATACTTGAATGTAACAAGCACTGCAGCTCCTACAAGCAGGGTGTGGGTGTGCATTTGTGTGAGATGGAGGGTAGTGAGCCTGGGACTAGAGAGCCTGTAAAAGTCTCTGGCATGTTAAGAAATGACCCATAATACCAAAAGGGTTAGGAGCCTCTGCAAGAGAATCAGAGACGTGACATCATATGGAATCTCCCGAGGGCCAATTACTTCTCTTGCGGCAGCCTCTGAAAGAAGCCATGTTGGGCATCAACTGAATCTCTGGCCATGTGTCTGGTATAATTCCTCCCTCGGCCGGTTACCTACCTGAGTGACATATGACATGTAAGATGATGGATTTTTATGCCTGTTCTCTTTTCTCGCCCTGCAGGTACCACCTGGACGTTTCACCTCGAGGTGAGTATGGCTTACCAGCCTGCCATCCATGGGATTGGGCCTCTGCACGAGATCTGGAGGTGGGGAGGGTTAGCCATGCAGCGGGGGGCGGCAGAGTTGTGGGAGGGGCTGGCAGGTGGGTGGGACTTTGGGAGCAATCGGCACTGTTTTCCCCCCAGGATTCTGGAGTGACGATCTAGAGCAGCAGTAGGCAAACTGCATCCTGACGGCCACCCATGGCCCACTGGGTTCTCTGTGTGGCCCACGAGATGGCTTGTTACCGTTGCCCACCTGCAGGGTCACCAGATTCTGTTGGTCTTTGTCCCTGTCGTTTTTTCCCTGCCAAGTTCCACACACACAAAGCCAGGGCAGGGGAAGTGCGGGGCGGGCTGACTGCATGCGATGTCGTGAAAGCCACACACTCCCTCTGCAGCCAATCCCACCGCTGCCACCATCCAATTGACGAGGCACACCATCATGCGAGGCACACAAGTGGAGTGAGCTCAGCCACCTGGTCCCGGGAGAGCGGCTTGGTTCTGACAACCTTGTGGCCCCCTGAGATGGAGGAGGGCCACTCCTGCACCCCACTTGCTAGCCAAGGTTGCCCCTCACCGATCTGGATGCACCATCTACACATGCTTACACAGGGCTTCTGCAAATGTGAAGTGGACCATGGGCGGAGGGTAATGTAAGCAAGGGAAGGTGTTGCCTTCCTAAAACTGCCTGCACTGCCCAGCTGGAACTGCGGTGTGGCCACCCTGACCCTCCAGGTGCTTAGGAGAGATTGGGCTGAGGTTGGGCAAGGCTTGGCGCCACACGGGAGGGGAAGGTTACTGAAGGGGCGGGGCTTGGGTGGAAGGGGCGGGGCTGGGGCAGCCAGCCCTCAGCACCACCCAGTGTGTACCACATGGTGGCCCCCCAGGCCATCTCACCTTGGGCATGTCCCATCTCTGTTCAGAGCTCCCCGCTCTCGGGTCTCTTTAGACTTTCAGCCCTTCCTCGCCGTGACTGTCTCTTCTGCGGAGCAGTGGCCCCGTTGTGCGACTGATGATCTGAACCCCAATGGCAGTTGTGAGGTGCGGGCCACAGGGTGTGTTTGTGTATCCAGAGGGCACTGTTAACGGCAAGGTCTCCTTTTTAATGGAGTCGGGCCCCCAATCTCACACCTGTGTCAGTGCAGCATTTAGCGCAGTGTGGTTTGGATTCCACATCTTTTAGGTGCTGTCAGAGCACAAGTGAAGTGTGTGTGTGTGTGTGTGTGTGTGTAAATGATTCCTGTGTGTACAAAAAAAGTCTGCACCAGCATCCCGGGCAAGATGGGTGCTGGGGTTGTAATAGAATAAAAAAAATTCCATGTGAGTGTTCCAACTGCGCTTCTCGCTCCAGCTAGAAATGCCGGCGCATTACCTCCTCCATCAGGGCCTGCTTCCCATGCCTCCTGTCTGTCTGGCAGGCCAGAAATGTCAGAAATGCGGCAGCATCGCAATTCCCACTAGAACGGTGTTATCACATTTTAATATGAGCCTCGGTGCCGCCTCCGTGCGTCTAATTGCTTTCGAGCCATTGTTTTCGTGGGCTTGGTTGATGAACCCAGCATCTGGCGTCATTCGAGAAAGTACAGCAGACAGCTGTGTTCAAAATTAGAAAAAGACGCGAGGATTAGAACACATAAAAGGGCTCAAAAAATTAGATTTATTTTTGGGGGGGGGGAGGAGAAGTTCACCCACTTGCAGAAGGGAGGGGGCGAAAAGGCTTCCAACTGCGCTTCTTTCAGCAATACTTTGCTCTTTTTTTCCTTTTTTTATATGCCGCTGCGGGGTTTTATCGTATCTGGCTGGCAAGAGCCAGATTTCCAGAACTGAAATGCGTATGGTAGGAATCTCGCTCACTGGGCGGCGGCAGGAACCGAAATGACTTTGTAAATCTACCCCCCTCTGGGGAATGCTGATGAGCATCAGGGACTGTATGAAGGAGGCTGTTGGGTTCACCCAAGGTCCTGGGAATCACCTGGTTTGCTTTGTGACATTGGGCAAATCTCTCCTGCCCGATGAACGAATGAAGCTCCCTGTAGGTTAAAGCAGGAGAGTGGGAGCGGGTTGTTTCCCTTTGTTGCTGTGTGGCCTAGGAGAGCGGCTCAACCGTTCTGTGCCTCAGTTTCTCCACTGGCCAAATGGAGTGGATGGCAGAAACCCTCCACAAAGCGCTCGGAGTGGAATGTGCCAATGCCGACGGCTAGGGACGTGCCTGGCATCCCTCTCTTTGGACGCCCCTGTGGTTGGAGCACGTGGGGAGAGGTATTAAAAAAGTCAGCCAAGTCATCGGTGGCCATGTTGGAAACCCACCAGGAGCATTTAGCGGCCCTGGCGGGGCGGAGGTTGGCTCGAAGCACCAGTCAGGGTTCTGCACGCTCCAAGATGCTCCTGGGAATCTCTGGGTGCTGTTTTAGAGCATGTCTGCTTCATGCCTCCTTGCCCCCGAAATGATGGGTGTCGCCACGCCGCACAGGGCTGGGTACTCGGGATCTTTTGGCTAAGTGCATGGGTGGTGGGTGGAACCCCCCTTAGGCTCCGCCCCTTCCATCCTTGCCCCCTCCCACCTAGCTGCATCTGCAAGACGCCCTGCCCTTCCCCCTATAGCTGCAAGATCCTTTGTCGTCTTCCCCTCCCACACACCCAGAGGGGCCAAGAATGTGTCTCCATCCCCTAGCTGGAGAAGACCCAAGCTGAACGGAGGCTGGAACATGCCCCCGCCCCTCAACTGCAGGATCCTTGGGCAGGCTGCAGCCTCCAGCCTCCCAGCCGCACTGCCCCTCCCCAGACCCAAGCCGCTGTGGGTGGGGGAAAGCCCCCCCCCACTCCCATAGTATCCCGAAGAGAAGATGTTTTTCGTCTGCTCCATGCAGGCTGTGGGGCAGTGGAGGCACTAATACGTGCTCCTCAACTTCCTCCGTTCTCTCTCCAGCCCGCCCAAACCCTGCAACCCACGGTGAAGCGCCCCCCCTTAGAACACACGGAAGCCATGTCTTTTCCTTGGAGCGGCCTGGCTCCTCAGGGGCACGTATCCTGTGCATGCAGACCAGCTCCTCTTGCTGTATTTCTGGGGTGGAAGGTTGCTGGGGCAAATCCATACATGCCTCGTGTCGACCCAGTCTCCTCCCCCTCCCCCAACCCTGAACTTTCTTTCTGTGTCCTCCCTGGTCTTCCCAGCATTTCCCTGCAGTGACTTGTCTGCGGTCTGAGGCAGCGGCCACAGGCCATGTCATGGTACTGCAAGGGAAGGGAGGAACACGTTTGTAAAGGAAGGAATTGCAGGGCGGGGGCCGAAATCAGGATGAGAGAGCACTTCTAGGGAGAGTTTATGGGGCAGCCTCGTTAGGAGTAACGAGGAGTCGGGTGGCACCTTAATAACAATTGTAGGGGCATCTGCTTTCATGGGCTGCAGCTCATTGCATCAGTTGGCAGGGATCTAGACATACCGAGAGGGGAGTGTCATATCCGTGCTAATGAGGCTAATTCCATCAGGGTGGATGCCCTCTTGACTTTTTTTTTTTTGTAATGAGTGAGCCATTGCCGGTCCCTATTCAGACCCATTCTGATGGTGTCAAATTTGCACGCGAATCCCAGCTCAGCAGTTTCATGTGGCAGTCTGGTTTTGAAGTGGTTTTGCTCCAGTATGGCAACTTTCAAGCCTGTAACTGTGTCCAGGGAGGTTAAAGGGCTCTCCTACTGGGTTTTGTATGTTCCTTTTCCTGAGGTCTGATTTTTGTGTCCAGTCAACTTGTGGAACTCCTTGCCAGAGGATGGTGTGAAGGCCAGGACTTTTAACAGGGTTCACAAAAGGGCTAGATAAATTCATGGAGGTTAGGTTTATCAATGGTTATTAGCCAGGCTGGGTAGGAATGGTGTCCCTAGCCTCTGTTTGTCAGGGGCTGGGAATGGACGACGGGGGAGGGATCACTTGATGGTTACCCATTCTATTCACTCCCTCTGGGGCATCTGGCACTGGCCACTATCGGCAGACAGGGCACTAGGCAAGATGGACTTTTGATCTGACCCTGTCTGGCCGCTCTTCTTCTTTTGCCAAGAGGCAGTCCAGTTTATCCACTGTGCAGGATAAAAGGTTGGAGCGGGAGGTCAAGATTTCCAGACCTGCAAGTGACTCAGTGCAGGGTCCCATGTCAGGGCATGGAAAAGTAGCTTTCCTCTGTTTCCCCATGTAAAAAATTGGGGTAATAAAAAAAAAAAAACCTTCTGTCCGGGAGCAGGGCTGTGGGGTTAGTCTACTAGAACTGATAACGTGCTTTGAAATCCTTCAGTGAAAGGCATTGGAGAAAGGCAAAGATTGTTGTTCCAACTGTCCCCGTGGAGCCAGATTTGCACCACTGTGCTGTGTCTGTCGAGGCCTCTGGTGCGTGCTGGCAGGGACAGAACGCGCTCCGGTCTTGAAGGCCCCAGTTGCACTGACAGATCAGGTATTTATGTTGAAAGCCACTTCTCTACCCTGATCCGTGCATCGCTGGGGGTCTGCAGTAGGGCTGTGAGCAATTAACCAGGAAGCCTCACCCTTACCAAGTGAGGCTGACTAGTTAGTTAACCAGTAGGTCAGGAGCAGCCCCCACCCGCTGCAAGCAGGGGGCTGCGCCACTCGTTGGGTAGGGGGCTGCACCAGCCTGACAGGAACAGCCCCTGCCCATGGGGAGGGCGGTTCTGCCTCCCCACCCACCCCATTTAATCAGTTAAACTCATTGAACAGGTTAACATTTAACCGGTTAACTCATTAAACAGGCTGTTAGGGTCTGTCTACACTACCCCACTAGTTCAAACTAGCGGGGTAATGTAGGCATACCACACCTGCAAATGAAGCCCGGGATTTGAATTTCCCGGGCTTCATTTGCATAAGCGGGGAGCCGCCATTTTTAAAACCCCGCTGGTTCGAACCCCGTGCAGCGCGGCTACACGGGGCTCGAACTAAGTAGTTCGGACTAGGATTCCTATTCCGAACTACCGGTACACCTTTGTCTG